TTACTATATTCATCTATGAATAACTAAATACTATCATACATATTTGAAATATATTAAAATAATACCTTGTTTTTCAACTTCTTCATTATATGCCACATACATATTCGGTGCTTTGAATTAGGAAAAACATTCTCAATATCTTGTTTTATTGCAGCATCTTGATCGTTTAAAGCAAGTGCTGGTTCTTTCCCATGAGTTTTAAGAAATGCTTTAAGCAACCAAGAGTAGGACTCAATGCTTTCATTGCTTAGCAATCCCGCTCCAACAATAACTGATTTTTTATGATGGTCAATAGCAGTAAATGGAACAAAAACCATTCGATACCTAACACACACAAAAAAAGTGTTCATTAAAGTCAATTTGTGATGTATTCGTAAGTAAATATAAAAATATTCATGTATGAATACAATTACAATATATTATTAGAATAATTTCAACAATAAAAACTGAACATGAAACGTAAAAGTTAAAATATTCATATATGAATAAGCAATAAAAAGGTAGATAGAATAATTTACTTGTTTGTTTGGAAAGTCGCATCAAACGAGATAACATCACCAAATTCAGCATAATATGCATTCTCCATTTCATCAGCCCAAAACATACAGTCCAAAACATTATCTTGACAATTAAACTCAAATGAGTAATTTGGATAGTGAGCTCGACGGTCATTCATTGTGTTTACTATCATTTGGGCATCTTTATAACCTATAACCCTGTTGATATCTCTCCTTAAATTTTTATAGTCAACTACTTTGGGCTTTACAAACTCATACCCACCTCTCAAACATGCCCTCAACTTATGAGCCATAGTTGGGGCTATTTTTGATGTGGAAGCACACACTATAAACTTTTTTTTTTCTGAATATGACATTTGCCTCGCTTTTTTTTAAATCGCTTCTCTTCTCAAGTGGATGGTTGTGAAGTTCATCAAACTGAAAAACTTTATAATCTGGAGTTCCATACAAAGATTCAAATATAATATTTTGCTTGACAACCAATAATTCTTGAATTTGAATTTCGTTTCCTCCTAACACCACTTGTACGCAATGTGTCACAAGATTTCTTTTTCTGTTTGCCACCACGATTACATATAACATGTTTCTTCTTTATAATCTTGTTATCAAACCTTGATTGCGTGCTCAGTCTCACATCAAACCACCAATTTCAACATACTCAGAATACATATTGATGGCCAACTTTAATGATTTGAAGATTAAACCTTTAAATGGAATAAGTTGAACAGGTACATCTGGCTTATAGACATGTTCTCCAATTATATCACCACAATATTGCGCATCATCTACTGAACTTGAAGATTCACCACCTAAAAAATTATAAATCTAAATCAATCTAATAATGCATGAATAAAACAATCATATATGAATAAAACAATCATATATGAATACATGAAATTCATATGAATAAAACAAAAAACAATGTTTATTGATGGATTAATAAAACATTCATATATGAATACATAAAATTAATGAGGATTCAAAATATATAAAATAAACATAATTTATTCATATATGAATAAAACGAAAATAATAATAAATTCAAAATTACAATTATCACACGTTTATTCATATATGAATAAGACAACAATTTATTAATATCAACATATTCATATGTCAATAAATGATAATCAACAAAATTAAAAACAACAAAATAATTCAATAACTGATACCTTCAAAAAATGAGTTCTGAACATCATCTTCTTCACTCTCACACATAGAAGAATACAAATCACCATCAATAACACTAGAATTTGACATAATAAACTAAATGAAAACCTGGTTAATTTCGAATATATCTCACCTCAACGTACAAAATATCTGAAAGAAACTTAAATCAGCTCGATCAGATGATGCAATTAAGCAATCTCTCTCGGTTTAGAGCGTAAAAACTACAACGATATATCCGATTGAAAATTAAATCAGCTCCGATTTGAAATAAAGATCTCAAACTACATAACAAAAATCCGATAAAACAACTCCAATACATATTCGAAACTTCAGCAAAAACGAAAATAATAAGCGTAATTCCAAACAAATTATATAAAGCAATAATCTTGATAATTAACTCCGATATATCCGATTCAAATGATACACATACCTGATCAAATCGGAAACTGAATACGAAGAAGAAAACTGAAACACAGATGCAAAACTTCACGATTAACGGATAAAATACGTATAATTGCTAACGAGTTATATAAAGAAAAGAATATTGATAATGAATTCCTCATATCCGATTCAAACGAGCTAAAGATATCATCAAATTGGAAACTGATAACAACGAACAGGTAAGTTCAATATAAAAAAGTGGCTATTTTACAAATATACCCTTAATGAAAAATGACACGCGCATTTTTTTTAAGGTGTAAATGTTAGATAAATGATTGACTAAAAATGAATCCCCCATTCTCAATCTTTTTTATTTTTTCAATGGAACTTACATATATATATATATATATATATATATATATATATATATATATATATATATATATATAAAACCATATGTTCTAAAAATAAAGCAAAGTGGGTGTTAGAGAATTAATAGGGATTTTTGGATGATTTATGCTGGAATTATGGTGATTTTTTTTGGAGTTCCACCTCAGCATCAAGACAAAAGTGGATCCTTGTTCAGTCGGGTCTTGGTTACATGTTCCACCATGGAATTCTTCATGATACGTGTCGGTTTCTTGGACATCTACCTACACGTGCGCACTATGTTGTCTTCCCAAGACCAGGCTTCTTGCCCAAGATATGCCACCATTAATTTCTCACATCTCCATTAAGTTAATCCACCACCGTTATCATATCTCTCTTTTTCATAGCACACAACGATTGCTTGCCTACTTCAACCTCCCCTCATCCCTACCTCAGAGTGAAGTAATACTAGGTTCAAACGAACATAGTCGTTCACCGTCCGGCTGAGTGGTAACTGTCTGCTTGCTTCCGGTCATCCTGACCTCATGCTGAAGCAGAAAACTTGATGATCGGTTTTCCTTCTTGTTGGTGGGGTTTCCCCCTAAAGCTCCACTCCTACATCCCCTTTTACTGCCACATATGGTTGATCGAGGCTGAGTCGCCCCTTCAAACCTTGGATAACGACACGTTTATGGCATGCGTCTTACAACTGGGTGAGATTAGATAATTTATGCCTGCCTTCACATCCTCAAATCTCTTCATTCATCACTTGTATTTTATTTAGGTCTTCTTTTCTCTCTTCCTCTTTCATTTCTTGTTTCATTTAATTTTTGTCATTTGATAATTTAGAGGCTTTTTTAATTAGGTTAAAGAAGTTGAAGCCGTTGGATAGATGTTGTCATGTTGATCGATCAAGAGTGTCAATATGAACAGGGTTCTTGGGTTCTGCTATTGCTCACAATCGATGGTCCATTATCCTCCTACGTTTTGTTGGTATCGTATTCAGAGAAATTCACCAAGGTTCTTTTATACTTCTGGAGTTTAGTCTCCCTTTCACTACCGACTTTCAATTTTAACTGATTGTCTTCTGATTTTTGACCTGATTTTTGGTTGTTTGTTTTGAGCGCTTTTATATCTGCAAATGATAGTATCTATTTTGTAATGGTTTTGAAATTTTCTACTTTCAGTTTGCGGACACCAACTGTTTGATATAATGTCTAAGTGAAGGTTTTAACTTCTTCATGAAATTTAACAGGTTGGAGATATGTTAGGGTTTTATTATAGCATGTGATAAACACACTTACTAATTTTTGTATTTCATGTTTGAATCTCAACAATCTGAGAATTGATAACTGGATTGTCTATCAAGAGTTTTATGGAGAAGAGGTCGTGAGTGGCGACATGAATTTTTTTTCCCACAACTGGTTATTCTTCAACTCTGGGGTAATAAAGTTGTAAGGATTATAAAGTAAATCGACATCCATTTCTCTGATAGAATTTCCCTTCCTTTAACATCTGTTGATGGCAGTTGCTCTTCAGGCCTTGGTGGATCTTCATTCATAAGGCTAATCATTGTCCCCTATAGTCATTGATCCTATACCCATTAACAAACCATGATTAGGAATTCATAATACATTGGTAGCAGTCTTTTCTGAAGGTTCTTTTTTTGACAATACCATGGAAGAATCCTGAATTACTCGATGATGTCCATTCTAAAGAGAAAACAAAGTGCTGACCAAAACAAGATCTTTCCTTCTGTAGGTAAATGGTCTTTTTTTTTTTTGCCATTTTTAAACAATTTTCATTATGGGTTTTTTTAATTTTTATTTGTCTTTCATGGGTTTAATTTCTCTGATAGAATTTCCCTTCCTTTAAACAATTTTCATAGGAATGAGAACCTTCTCCAATCAGAAGCCCTTTAGCACCTTCTGTTGATGTCATTCCGGGACAACTGACCTGCCTCTGTAAGAAGTTTATTTGTATTTATTGATATTGAATGAGTTGTTATGTGTTTTAAACCTTAAACCCTATGTTTTTATCTATTTTTTTAGTTGTCCGAGTTTTTGTTAACGATTGTTGGTCATAAAGAGTTTGTGAAGGCAAATAACTTTTTTTTTAACTTATTACAAGATTTCAATTCATGAATCAGATCATTTGTCTACATTTATTTTCTGATTTTTGGAAATAGTATCCAACTCCTTGTCTCCTATTCAATTGCTTTTATGCAAATGACCGAACAAATTAGTTGCATAATGTCTTATCTTGTATTAATATAACAAAAATATCATTTAATATTAATTTACGTTTTCCTGATACACGTCCATGCTTTGTCAATAGATGCTAATCAATATGTTGCTAATGAAGATGAAAATACTTACAGTTGTGTTTCTGTATGCATTCACTCATTTGCAAATCCCTTTTTATCTTGTTTTTTCATCATTTACTATTTTAAAAGTGACCATTATTTCCACATGCTTTCTTTTTGTTGGTGGAAATTGTAATTTCTTGTGCAACCAAGGGAGTTTACGTGATATTAAAGGCTTCTAAACAATGATTGGATGAATGTCAGCAGTAAGAGGTGAAAGGCTGTGCTGATTAGTGGAGTGGTTAATATTTTCTGTATGATATTATCCATTTAACTCCTTAAATTCTAATTTACCAATACTAATCTTTATTTGGGAAATTAATTTTGGCAGACGAGAGAAGCTACACTTTTTTGTTGTGTTATCTGTATAAAAACAATTGTTTGAAGTTGAGGTTGGTACATTTTTTTTAGTTTGATGGAGTTTATTATTAATAAATTATATATATCATAATAAAGTGTATATGTTTATAACTTATTCTCTCTCAGGTTTATGGGTATTCGGGGATCAATTTGGGAAACCTCTTGGAGCAAACTTTTACAGAAGACATGGCAGTAGGTAGAGTTTTAGTTAATTATCTTGACTCATTTCTTTTATATCGTTAACATTCTTAATCTAATCACTATTTGTAGTGCGGGTGTACATGAGTTTCCCTTTCTTTATGCTCGTATGTTTCGTCAATTGCTAACTCCTCATCTTTGGTAAATACCAATATTCACCTATCGTGTTTCCATAATTAAACCACAAATACCAAGTGTTAGTTTCCATTATATCATCACTTGTTTCTACGTTAACATGTATAGTGATCAATTAAATAGGTTATTCATTTTTAAGGGAAGACAAAGGATCACAAGTATTTATGTACGAGTGCAAAAGGAGCCCACATGCCATTGTATAGAAAAGTGTCGGATAATAAAAATTTGAATATCACAGTGAATGAGAAATCATGTTATATTTACATAGGTGTTGTTTGGAAGTGGTTAAATGTCTTTTGTCTTTTTCCATGTTTGCGGAAGAAGACGTGCACTTGAGAAACGTCTACCCGCCAGAAGGGAAAAGTGCTCAAAAAGTACTTTTGTAGAAAAACAAACGAGGCCATAGTTTTGGTAATTGTAATATAATATTACTTGGAAGGTCGTAATCTATGCATTTTTTTTATTTTAAAAACAATCCAACCATAAAACGGTACTTAAATGTCAATTGTCACTGTGGTGTCCAGCTTGAACTAAAATTATTAAAAAAAAACCACTTGAATAATGCAGAAGTTCTTCAATCAAGTTAAAGAAATGAGAGTAATATTGACTAATTTTAATTTTTTTTGATCAAAACGATATGGAAAATCTTACATTTAATCGTTGAAAACTATTACATTTTTAAAGTACAATGCTATAAAATAAACTGAAATGGAAGTAGTGAGCTGTAATTGGTAGAAAATGATTATATAAAGTGTCATAACCCAAAGTATCGAAAAGCTTATGTGCACCACAGGTATGAGCTTGGACAAAATCAACAGAATTCAACTTTCGACAAAATCAATAGAATTCAACTTATTTGAAAGCCTTTAAAACCAAATATTGCATGTCGTTTTTAAAATACCAAATATACCCTCCATGGCCGTGCTTAGCACGGACCTTTTCATTTCACTAGTATATATATATATATATATATATATATATATATATATATATATATATATATATATTGTTTGTAAGATGCTCTACTTTCTATCTACATTACGTGGCATTGAATGCCCTTAAAATCAGAGTCAAAGAGGAAGTGTCAAGGGGAAATGATTTACCATTTCGATCTTGCCATGACCCAATACAAACTATAACAAAAAATTCGTTCATATTGCTAAATTTTAATTTTCTTTCAAACAATTTTTTTTTAAATATATTATACTATTTTATGATAAAAAAAATTCGTTCATATTGCTAAATTCTAATTTTCTTTCAAACAATTTTTTTAAATATATTATACTATTTTATGATAAAATAAAGAGAGTTATTGTGACTATAGATAAATTCATTTTTTTTAATCTATTTTACTATTTTATGATAAAATAAAGAGAGTTATTGTGACTATAGATGAATTCGTAGTATGAACCCTAAGTTGGTAATACAAAACCTAAGTCTCAGTACGAAACCTATGAATTCACAGTACGATCGACGGATTGAAACCTCCCTAACTTTGATGCCAAATTAGTAGTACGGAAGGCGAGTCTGCGGAGGACCCTCTGTGGGAACTTGTTGCTCATTATGGAAAATGATTAGTTTTTGTTCATTTTTTGGCAATTAGGTTTATAATCTGTCATGTTTGGCGAAATCTCTTAAAATTGATTTTTAACCAAATAAATGTGTTTTAAAAGATATTTATTGAAACTGTGTATTTTCAAATATATTCACCAAAATAATATGGTAGTTAATATGTTTATTATAAAATGTTTTTCTTGTAATAATTTTTCTGAAATTTTCAGCAATTGTTTTAATTTTCACTTGTTTTTTAATATAATTTTTGAACTTCTTTTAAAATCTTTACTTTTAACTTTTATAAAAAAGGGAGGGATTTCCATCTCTTGGCTGTGAAGCCATCCTTGCCGGCGAACGGGTCAACTTCGGTCCTCCTCCTTCTCCTGATTGCAAACACATGATACATGCATACATGTATTTTCATTTTGTTTCTTTTTTTATTTTCTTGCCCTCGAAAACAAGGGTTTGATGGAGAAGTTAAGAAAGTGGCCACCACCTTCTTCGTTTCTAACATTCTGGAAGGTTGGAGAGAAGAAAAATTGTGGCAAATTTTCTCAGACTATGGCAAATCTAGTGCATGTTTTCCTCACTAAACAGAAAGACAAAACAAGTCCATCTTTTGCTTTTGTAAGATATCTTAAAAGGGAAAAACTGTGAAGGGATCTTGAAAATACTTTGTGAAACAAAGATTGCTTGCTTAGTTTTTAATATGAATCTTGCAAAAGTATGATCAAAACAATAACCGGAAAGATCAACTGGAATTGCCCTCAGCAAATGTAAAATATCCTAAAGAAACAGTATCAGCTACATAGATCTTATTTCGATTATGTGAAATGTACTAACATTTTTCTCAATAATTTTCCTTACAATAAAAAGATCGTCAGGTGAGCATAGTTCCAAAATCAAAGAAGATTTATAGGAAATTAAAGCTCGCTGACATCTATTATGCTTGAAGAGGATTTGTCGGCGTCTTTTGTGGGTGGAATCGGACTAGCTGACATCGGTTGTGTCCGAAATCGAAGAAGGCGATGGGAGAAGATCTCAGCATCTCAGACGACGTGGTCTGGTCGAGACGTGGCCATTCTATTTTTTTTTATTTGCCTTCTACTTTTGACTTGTTATTAAACTTTCACCTACCGAAGGACTTCTAGCCCAGCGGTATCCGGTGTTGCCCTCCCTCCTTGAGGTCGAGGGTTCAAGTCCCATTGTGGATATAAGTGAAATAATTTAGGAGTAGTTTAATATATATTTATATTTGTCGTTCAAAAAAAAAAATAGATTTTCACCTTAAATGGTATATATTTTCAAAACCACACCTATTTTACCTAATTGGTAAATATATATTTTTTTAAAAACATCATTTTGGTAAAAAGCTCCTTAAAAACTAATCGATTGGATTTGAGTTTTTTTATTTCCAAAATTGTCTTTTAAAAACATATTAACCAAATGGATGTAAGTTTAAAAGTATTTACCATTTAGGTTTAAATTCTATACCATAAAAGTTAGAAGAAAAATAAAAAGTTCAACGCGAACAGAACGACCAAAGACGACATCATTGCGTTCTTCGGTTCCTAATCACATTGTGAGCCATCACCTTCTTCGATTCCAACCTCAAGTGACACCGACAAGTCCGATTCCAGATAGAGAAGACATCGACAAGTCCTACTCCTCCACACATGATGCCAACTAACCTACTATGATTTTCTCTTAACCCCAATATCAACCCTAGTGTGATTTTCAACTTCAACTCAACTTTTATTTTATTATGCATTTAGTATATTGATGTTGTTATAGTATATTGATATTGGGGTTAGAAAACTTGTGATCGTCCATATGATATAAGTTATAGTAAACAAACAACATTAAGGATAAAATACAATTTGATGAATTGGTTAACATATTGTATATATCATGCTACAACTTTTGATAAACAAAAACATCACATCAACTTAACTTATAGATATCCATCGGTTAATATTGGAAATGTTATAAACTATGTTCCTCTTCCCATAAAAAATAATGATGACATTAGCATAATGCTTGATGTGCTTTGGCTCCATCAATAATTAGGTAACCTTAATCTATATTTAGAGGTTGAAGACAATGTTCAAATTCAACACACAAAGATGACGTCTAGGTATAAACATTTTTGGTTTACATGATTTACAAGTTTTTATTTATTTTATATGTGATAACCTAGTTTTTAATTTTTGTAACAGAAATAACAAATTTGTTGTGTTAGAAGAGGAAAGGAATAATCAATTTCTATTACCTAATACAAGTCATGCTACTATCATATCAGACATGATTCATAATGGAGATTTCTATGAAATTTCTCAAGTTGCTGTCGAGAACAACATAAATTACTGACAACGAAATTAATGAAAATGATGTGTTACAAGAAGATGGCATTGGAGAAGAAGATGATAAAGAAGATATGAGTGATGCATCTTTTGAAAACAACTTTCAGGTATGTGACAATTGCCTAAATTAGGTCCATTATCGCTATTATAATCAAGCATAATTTAATCTAAACAAATATGTGCTAGACCTAATGTAATATATTTAAGTCATTTTCATGAAAATAAAGTTATACACATTGAGATGCATGCGGGATATCACAAAAATCTTCGATATGTGTAAATCGTCGATAAACAACACAAAACATGTGTTATTATATATAAGTAATAATAGGATATATATGATTTGAGTTGATATATTAAGTATTATTATGTATAGATGAAACGCTAAACAAAGAGTACACATAACTACAAAACCATGGATATAAAGAACGTCGAAAACGGAGCTCGTATGAGAAAGTTACAATTATCCAAAGAAACGAGAAAATAAGCGTAGAACACAAGAACCATGATTGTAAATTTAAAACTTCAAGTCGTCCGTTAGACCTACTATGCTGCGAATTTGAGGTTGTGAATTGGTTCTCGTAAGAAGTAATATAAGTAAGCGATTGAATTATTTTTCTTTTTCGCAAAAACCAAAACCCGACACTGCGTCACTTGGATACAAACGAAACACCCAGTCCACGATCCCGCCGTTGATCGAGATTTGATCGTAGCCATTGATTCTAACTAACCTCACTTATTAAAGAAACATCCCTCTCATCTCATTCCCATCACTCTCATCTCTCTCTCTCTCTCTCTCTCTCTCTCTCTCTCTCTCTCATCTCTCTCCCTATTTATCTTCCATTTATGCCGACTATCACCCCTTTCTGCCGCCTACAGCCGCCGCAAACCGCCTCCTGCCACCGCCAAGCCATCTCCACCCTCCACCAAATGCCACCTTCCAACTGTCGATCGTCGCCAACAACCTCCCACCACTTCAGCAGCAACTCCGTCCATTTTCCAGAAATTTTATAGCGATCCCTTGGCGAAATTTTGGCAGAACTACGACGACTTTTCCAAAAAATTTTATGGCCACTATTCACTTTCCTGCAAAACACTATTTATCTTCCAACAAAGCACTATTCCAACAATTTTTTTTCCAACGACCGTTCCGACACCGTTTCAAGCTACTTTCCGTAGTCTAGTTTAAAGTTACATGAACATCACCGTGAGTTTCACGACCTATTTTCTTACGTTTTAAACTTACCCGGGGGGGGGGGGGGGGGGGGAGGGGGATACATGTTAAATTGTTTATAAATTCATGCATAAAAATTTATGACCCTTTGTTTACAAACTTATACTCAATAAATCATGCCGAAGAACATATGTTTACAGACTTATCTTGATAAACTCCCGCCTATATATATATATATATATATATATATATATATATATATATATATATATATATATATATATATATATATATATATATAAAATTGAAACTTATGCCTAGGAACTTTTATGTACAAGTTTAGGCTTATGAACTTATAGAACTTATCACTCAATGGTTACATGAGACAAATTCATTACCTAAGTCCCCTGACTTATAAAAGTTAATCTTCATGAGCGAGGAAATTATGTGTAGATCTATACAATTTGACAACCCCACCTACGTTTTCTAGCTACAACCTTGATGGTCGACTCACTATAGGTGATAATTGTCATTACATTTTACAACTTCCAATGAAGAGTCGGGAGGGGCACATCTACATAGTCACAACTCATTTATAAGGACTCATTGTGATGTTGATAGTGTAATTAATTCATTAATAATATATAGGATGGGAAACCTCTTATACCTTGAGAAACTACTTTTGATTTGAAAATAGTAAAATACTATTATTCAAATAATTCAAACCTGTGAACTTAGCAACATTATGTTGACACTCTTCAAAATAACATGTATTGTCCATGAAATAAGAGCTGAAAGTTTACACTCATGGAATAAGTCGTGGAATCACATTCTTCTTGGTTTAACAATGTAGTTTTATAGAATTCCCTATTGTTAGGGGCATGTTTATGTACTTTCAAGTTCATGTATTTCTAGACTAGTAGCTATGTAATTTTCTTTTCAGAAATAAGAATTTACAATTTTATGTTGTTTGTTGTATTTATTCTATGAATTCAATGATTGTGATCCATGACATCGTCTTACCGCCTGGCGATTCTGCCGCCGGTCGGGGGTGTGACAAAGTACCTTCAACTTTTATCGATATGGAGAAAAAAAAATTGTTGGTAGATATCCTCAAGAATGATCGAAAACTATATTTCCAATTACATATGATCATAAATGGTTACACCAATAATAAGTAAACTATACTTAATCATTTGAAAGAATTTGATTATTGTTAAGTGATTTAAGCTCTTGAATTAACTATAATTAAAAGTTTATTATTTTGTGGAAGTAATAATGTTTCTAAATATAACAAATTAAATTAAATCATAAAGTATGAAATATATATAAATGGGAAATGTACAAACTTTAAAAAATTAAGGGTTAATTTTGTAAAAATTAAGAGATGTAATGTGGGAGCCATAAGATAGTGTATCATACTCTCTCATCCCCTCCCCCCCTCTCTCACTCATATTTGGCCGAATCCTTATTGAGAGGTTTGGGTTTGCTTACACACTTATCCATAATTATATATTATCTTGATTTGCTTGTTGAGTTTTTATTCAAAAATTGTTTCAAAAACATAAATATAGCAACGTAAGACTTACGATTTAAACAAAATAAAACTAGTTTTATTCCCACCAAAAGATCATTTTGCAAGACTTAGAAAGATTAAAAAAACCATAAAAGGAAAACATTACAACCTTTGAATACTTTGGTTCCTGTTGGTAATTAGGAAGTTGATGAAGATGGCTTTAAGCTCCAAAGAAGAAGCTCTCTAGAAGTATCCACCAAAATTTAGCGAACTTGATAAGATGCTAGTTTTCATCTTGTAATAAAAGAATCTCTTAAGCCTTTGAGAACAAAACAAAGCTTTTGTTCT